TGAGGTTGCCATGGCCTGGGGGTCCAAGGACCAGAGCTCTGGCCTTTGCCCTCAGGAGTGGAAATGGAGTGAGGAAAGACTTCCCAGGAGAAACCCCTCTCAAGATGTACCTTGAGGGGAAAGCAGGAGTTGGCCAAGCAGAGACGGGAGGGAAAGCATCCCAGGCAGTGGTGACATCAGGCAAAAAGCAATGGGCTGGGAAATGTCCTGGCCACTGTCTGGGCAGGAGCGGTCCATGTGTGATAGCTGGAACCTGGGGTAAAGGAGACAAGGTGGGGTCATGCCCCTGGATGTGTGTCTGGGGTCTGCTCTCCAAGGGCTCCACAGCCAAGCAGAGGAGGCTGGCCTTCAGCTTTCAGTCTGTCATGTAAAAAACAAATCTGGGACTTCCGTCCAAGATGGAGGCATAGGTAGACATATTGTGCCTCCTCGCACAACCAAAAAAGGACAATAACAATTTAGAAACAAAATAACAGCCAGAAGTGATAGAAAATTGAACTGTATGGAAGTCGGACAACCAAGGCATTAATATAGACACATTGATCCAGATGGGTAGGAAAAGCAGAGTTGGGCAGCCTGGTGGAAAGGGATCGAGACACAAAAAGCAGTGGCACCGGGTGGGTAAGGCATCCTGGGCATGCAAGACCGCAGAAGGTGGGCACTGGGAGAGCAGGGGCCTGCTGGCAGACCATGGGCACAGGGTGAAAATGGGCAGACCCAACCAGGCAGCAATTGCGAAGTGAGAAACTGCTGGCAAGGCTGACCAGGGGGTCCCGAATTCACACTCAGATAAACCAGGCAAAATTTGGGAGCGAGATAGACTGGGAAACCCAGGGTCCCAGCACCAGGAAGTGTGGCCTTGGGGCACTGATTGAAAACACCTGTGGGGGTTGAGGTGCTGGGAGAGACTTCCAGCCTCACAGGAGAGTTTGTTGGAGAGACCCTCAGGGTCCTAGAATGTGCACAAGCCCATCCACATGGGAATTAGCACCAGAAAGGCCCAGTTTGCTTAAGGGAAGAGGTGGAAGGGACTGAAAGCCTACAGTCAGCAGAGCAAGCGCCATTGTTCCCTCTTGGACCCCACCCCCACATACAAAGTCACAACCCAGTGACTGGGTTGCCCCACCACCCTGGTGAACACTAAAGGCTCCACCCCTCACTATGTAACAGGCACATCAAGACAAAAAAATGGCTCAAAAGGAAGAACAGATTAAAGCTCCACAGCAAATACAACTAAGGGACCAAGAGATAGCGAACCTATCAGATGCACAGTTCAAAGCACTGGTGATCAGGATGCTCACAGAATTGGCTGAATTTAGTCATGAATTAGATGAAATAATGAAGGCTACACTAAGGGAAATGAAGGAAAATGCACATTGAACCAATAGTGATGGGAAGAAAACTGGGACTCAAATCAATGGAGTGGTCCAGAAGGAAGAAAGAAACAACCAAACAGAAAAGAATGGAGAAATAAGACTTCAAAACAAATGAGGAGAGGCTTAGGAACCTCCAGGACATTTTTAAATATCCAACATCTGAATTATAGGGATACCAGAAGGGGAAGAGAAAGAGCAACAAGTGGAAAAGTTATTCGAACAAATAATAAAAGAGAACTTCCCCAATCTGGCAAAGGAAATAGACTTCCAGGAAGTCAAGGAAGCTCACAGAGTCCCAAAGAAGTTGGACCCAAGGAGGAACACACCAAGGCACATCATAATTACATTACCCAAGATAAAAATGAAAGAGAGAATCCTAGAAGCAGCAAGAGATAAGGAGACAGTAACCTATGAAGGAATTCCCATCAGACTGTCAGCTGATTTCTCAAAAGAGACCTTGCAGGCAAGAAGGGGCTGGAAAGAAGTATTCCAAGTCATGAAAGGCAAGAACCTACATCCAATGTTGCTTTATCCAGCAAAGCTTTCATTTAGAATGGAAGGGCAGATAAAGTGCTTCTTAGATAAGGTCAAGTTAAAGGAGTTCATCATCACCAAGCCCTTATTTTATGAAATGTTAAAGGGATTTTTCTAAGAAAAAGAAGACAAAGAAACATGTATAGTAAAATGACAGCAAACTCACAATTATTAACAACCACACCTAAAACAAAAACAAAAACTAAGCAAACAACTAGAACAGGACCAGAACCACAGAAATGGAGATCACATAGAGGGTTATCACCAGGGGAGTGGGAGGAGGAGAGAGGGGAAAAGGTACAGAGAATAAGTAGCATAGATGGTAGGTAAAAATAGACAGGGGGAGGGCAAGGCTAGTATGGGGAATGTAGAAACTAAAGAACTTAAGACACATGGACATGAATGAAAGAGGGGTAATGTGGGTGGGAGAGGGTGTGCAGGGTGAAGGGGAGTGAAGGGAGGCAAATGGGACAACTGTAATAGCATAATCAATAAAATATATTTTAAAAATATATCTGGAACTATATAAGGAGAGACTTCATTCTGGTTGAAGCGTCATCTCATACACCAAAGGGCTGCTGGTTTCATTCGTGGTTAGGGCACATGCCTAGGTTACAGTTTGGATCCCTGGTTCAGATGCATATGAGAGGTAACTGATCAATATTTTCCTCTCTCTCTCTCTCTCATAAAAACATATCTTCGGGTGAGGATTTTTTAACAGGGATTATTGTGATGAGGGAGTGAGATTATTGCAAAGCAGGGAAGGAAACTTGCAATAAGGGAAGACAGACTCTGCACATAAGAGGTAAGGAACTGCCTACAGTAAGGACAAGGATGGATGGGATGTGGGAAACCCATGGAGCCTGAATGCTATAGACTGAATTGGGTACCCCCAAATCCATCTGTTGAAGTGACATGATTGTTATTTCAGAATAATTGAGGTTAAAGGAGTTCATGATAGCAGCCCCCTAAGATTGATGGCCTTGTCAGAAAAGGAACAGAAAGCAATCTCCCCTTCCTCTTCCCACATGCAAAATAAAAAGACCACGTGAAGATGGGGAGAAGTTGGCCACCAGCAAGCCAGGAGGTGGGCTCACACCAGCAACCAAACGTGCTGACACACAAACTTGGACTTCCCAGGCTTCAATACGTTTCTGTTGTGTGAAATGCCCAGTCCTTGGTACGTGGTTACGAAATGCTGAGCTGACTGAGTTCCCTGTTAGCCTGCACAGTCATTCAGGCAAGCCTGTACACACCCCCTACGGGAACCAGGAGACCTCTCACTGCCAGGTACTGTCAGGTACTCATTCAGGCAGATGCTGAGGGCAGCCCTCGGGGGCCTGCGCCGTAGGAGGTCCTCCTCCCCCTCAGCGACTCTATGGGATTCACACACTGCTGTCCATCTAATTGGCTCAATATTAACTGTCCAGAACTCAGCCCACAGTGTGGCCCCTGGTAGGAATCCAGCGTGCAGCTGCCCTGGGTAGGGCCTGCAAACAGAGGGGAGCTCACCTTCTGAGTGCGGTACCTGCTGGCGCCCAGGTGTCCCTGCGTCTGGGTGCCAAGTGAGCATTGGCGGCTGGTGTGTGGGCTGCCCCTGCTCGGGAGATGTGAGAGAGGATGGGGAAAGGATAGGAGCTAGTCCAGGCCAGTGATGACCTCAGCTCAGCTGGGACCAGGCCCAGCAGCTCCACCTTATTCCCAGGTTCAGCCTCAGGATGTCAGGAACCCAGACCCTCTGGGCCCTGCTATTGCCAGGACAGGGGAGTGTGGGGGCTGGTCCTGGGGGCCCTGGGCCTAGAGGGGATGAGACCTTGAAGCAGAGCCTGGAGCCTATTCAGCCTGTGGCTGGTGGAATCCAGCAGGCTCTCCTTTAGTTTCCTTCCCAGTTTTTAATGTATTTATTCTTATTTTTTCCTTATTTTTTTTTTTTACTTTTTCATTCAACTTATTGAGGTGACATTGTTTAATAAAATTACATAGGCTCAGGTGGGCAATTCCATAACACACCTTCTGTACATAGTATTTGATAACACCCCATTGTACCGATGTGTCACATCCACCCACTCATCAGTAGACACATGTTTGAGTGTTTCCATTTTTGACGGTGAGATCTCTGCTGTGAATACTGGTTATGCTTTTTTGTTGTTGTTGGGACATATGTATTTTGGGCATATGCCTGGGAGTGGAGTTGTTGGGTCACAGGGTAGTGTCTGTGTGTGACTGTTAGAAGAAACTGCAGACTGATCTCCACAATGGCAGCTTCATTTCAGGTTCCCAAAAACAAAGTATAAGCCTTCCCATTTCTCCCCACTGTGATCTGCATTGTTATTCTCCTTGAAAAATATACAGGTCCCTAGTGGGGGTAAAGGGCTATTTCAGCATACCTTTGATTTGTACTTGTGTGTAATAACAATGAAGCCATTTATTGTCTTGTGGAGTTACTGTCCATTTGTATTCATCTGGAAGACAGTTTTTTCAAGTCCTTTGCCCATTTTTAATGGGGTTGCTTGACTTTTTGTTGTTGAATTGTAGAAATGTTTTTTGTTTAAGTTACATTGTAAATTGATTTTAGAAACAGGGGAAGGGAGACATAGTGAGAGAGAAAAACATCAAATGTTGTTACACTTATTTATGGATTCATTGGTTGCCTCTTGTATGTGCCCTGACCAGGGATCGAACTCACAACCTTGGCACTTTGGGATGACACTCTAATCAAATGAACCACCAGCCAGGACTGTAAGAGTTCTTCATATGTGCTGGATAATAAGCCTTATCAGATCTAGGATTATCAAATATTTCTCCCATTGAATGGGTTGGCTTTTCACTTGCTCCATAGAGTTAATTAATGAACACAGTGGTTTATTTTGAGGAATCCCAAACTAGGCCTTATATTTTCTGTCCCACTGCAGGGGGCCAGGGCAGGGTCAGCGGTTAAGGCACAGGTGGTCAGTCCCCAGTCTATGGATGCAGGAAAGCCTGGAAGACGACCTCCAGGTTCCCAGTGGATACAAAGGACACAGGATTGCCATTGAGCAGGTGACTCCCTCCTTGTCTCTCTTTCCTGCAGGGAAATCAGGACCCAGGGCAATGGTGGTGCTGGTGTCCATTGTGGAAGCAGCTGTCAAGACCCTTCTCCTCCTTCTCTGCCTCATCAGCCTCATGTGAGCTGGGCCCTAGTAGGGAGGGAGGGGAGAGGAGGGCAAGGGGCCCATGGCTGAGTGCAGGGCCTGGACCCAGGACACTGATGAATAAGGGGAGGTGCTGGCAAAAGCTGAAGTGGTGGCAGGTGAGGACTCCACATGGAAAGCCATTGTGAGTGTCCAGGATAGGAAGAATCTTCAGTGCTCAAGATAATTGTCGGGGTCAGATCTGCCATCCCTGAAGTTACTTCCCTCTCTATCCCTTGAGAAAGAGACAGGGTATTGGGTCTGCTGCCTACTCCACCCTGATCCAACCAGACTGGAAAACCCAGGTCTCTTCTCACAGAGTCAGGTACCACAGGAGGAAGGTGATGAGGCCCACAAGAGGCATGAGAGACGCAAACACAGCATCCAGTTAATGCCTCAGGTGAGTGACCCAGGATTCTCACCACCCAACATTCCAGTGACACCATCTCCAGGGTGGTCCCTGGGATTCCTCTGCTCAGAATGGTTACAGCTGAATTGCCACCTTCCTCCCCAAACCCACTTCTTTATAGGGTCGTAGTCACACAGATGACACAGTGCCCTCCCTTCCTTCTTTGTGATACAATAAATCACTAAGTGTTGTCCACCCTTCCTTCTTATCACAGCTCAGCTGAATGTCCATCTCCTCCCCATCCTACCCTGGTCATTCTTGGGGCCTCATCTCTTCCTGGGTCTCTCAACCCAACAAAGTCCTGCCTCCAAATCTATCCCCAGCTCAGCCCTCCCAAATCTGTTTGCAGACACCTATCCTCCACATCCCACACATTTTGAACAGCAATGTTTCTTCTCTGTTCCTGGGGTTGAGGGACAAACTCCACAAGCTGGATTTGAGGGCTGGTGTGGCCTGTGCCCTGCTGGGCTATCCACTAGGTTCCATCCTCTTCCAGACTCTCACACCATCTCTGCACCAGCATGACAAGTGCCATTGTGACTCTGAGACTTTGAACATGTAATTCCTTTGGCAGAAATGCCCTTCCCTTCTGATTCCTACATCTCCAAGTGTGTGTGTAATTATTATGTGGTTTTGAACAAAATAAAAGTTATTTGGTTACTTATAGCCTCTTTAGTAGTATGACTCAACACCTACTGTGTTCCAGCTTTTTTGTAGGTCCTTGAGATGCAACTGTGGACCCAACGTCAAAATCCATGTTATCCATCATCTGTCATTCTGGAAATAAGAGGATAGAATTTAAATCACTGAAGATAATACAACACTGAACCAGAGAAGGGAGGGACCCTCTCTGTGTTTCAGGGAGCAGAGAGGGGTTTTGAGGGGGATGTTAACTCTGAGAAGCCACCTCATGACCCCCAGGGGACATCACTGAGAGCGCTGGCATGAATGATGGAGATGAGGAAGTGTCAGGACTGGAGATGGGACACGTGTGTCAGTGTGAGAAGGTGGCAGTGGTGAGGGAGGACAGGCTCTGGTGGTCTACAGAGAGGAGAAGACACAAGAAAACACATCTTTACTGGGTCTCAGTGGTTGGTGGGAAAGGTGTGAAGATGTGATTGGAGCAGGATCAGCAGAATATTGGAGGCAGGAATATGGGATCCCAGGGTCCAGAAAACCCTCTGGGAAGTTTGTCTGCAAAGAGGAACAGAAGAGTAAATATGGTGAAGGAGGTCCTTTCTCGATTCTTTCTCTGCTTTTTCCCAGAGGTGCCCCATTTTCCTGCCTGTGTTGTTTTCCTGAGGCTATTGAAGCAATTTACAACACCCTCATTGTCTTTTTTTGTAAAGTTTTATTCTCTTGGTCCTTGGGGCCAGAAGTTCATGGAGGAAGTAAAATACCTTCTCAGTCTGCTTTTCTAAGTTCTTGTATGAGGCCCCTGGGTGGCCCACAGTGGAGCTCCAGCTGGCATGGACAAAAAAGAGGTCTCCAACATTGTACCTTTTTTTTGAAAATGTAGATTTTATTATTATTCCATATATCAGGACAACACACCTGGGAGACAAGTACCACCATTTATTGCTCCCACTTCCCAAGAGGCAGGGGGAAAGCCACACTACAGGGCCAGACAGGGCAGCTCCGGGGCCGGTCAGACACAGACAGAAGGGGAGAGGGGGACACGTGGGCATATCCTTGATGGAGGGTCCCCTGGGGGAGGGGAGGGGAGGCAGGGGAAGCAGGCTTGGGCCTGGCTGGTTTGAATAATGTTTGTGGGCTCTAGGTGCAGGGGCTGCCTCTTGTTGCCTGGTTCCTGGTTCTGGTGGGATTAGGGCAGGAGGGGAAGGGGCTGGGGTGGAAGAGCTCTGTAAAGGGGATGGTGGGAGTTGTACCCTTTGGACTGGCTTGATTGCCGTGTGCCTGTCATGTCTGCAGGCAAGTTCTTCCCTATCTCTAGCCATTGCCCAGTTCTGGCAGGGACAGTTTCCCTAGGGGAACAAGGCCCCTGGTGTCATAACAAAGAAGGATGTGGTTAATACTCCCACAACACACTTCTGCTGGATCTGCACCTCGCCACTGGTCTTCTTGCCCCTGACACCCAATCAGAGACCTGTCTCTGTCCCTCCCAGTCCTCCACCAGCTCCCCTTGCACCAAGGCTCTGCAAAGCTTGTCCGTGCTTGTTCTGAACACAGCTTAGCACAGCCATTCTCTTCTGCTGAGCTCCCCTCTTAGCCCTTATCCTGCTGATGCCCCACTCCACCCACCCCGCCAGTCACCTCTCCACTTCTCCTCCCTGCATGCATGTTAGCATTGCTTCTGTGAAACAGCACTTCCCCATCCCACCCAAGTCCAAAATGCACTGAGCTGCCAAGGCCCAGGCCACTTGGTCTGGCATTTGAGGCTGGAAAACCAGGGTCACCTTCAGTGCTTCCTGCCCCCCACACTCGCCTGCTCAGTTGAATCTCAGCATCTCCTGCTGTCTCTTCCCGCCCTGTCACAAGCCTGCATCACCTGCCTGGTTCCTGCTCACCCTCCAAGCTCTGGCTCTCACTTGTGCATTGAAATCTGACCAATGAGGGCACTGCGATGAGATCTGTGAGCATATGATTCACAGCACCCGAGCACTGATCTTTTCTTTCAGCAAATACCTCCCACCTGTCAACTGTTCTGGGGGCTTGGGTAATATCCGTATTTTTACAAATTATTACGTTATTGATGTAAAATACCCCTCCTGAAAATGCTCTCCTTTGCTTGCTGATGACCACCTTCTCACTGTGTCCTTTCATGGCCTTTTCTGTGTGTCCATGCATTTCTGGTGCCTCTTCTTCTTATGAAGACTTAAGTCATTTTGGGTCCTGCCATAATGACCCCATTAAAAATTGTGTCCTTCTCCAAAGTCCTGAATGATGAGTACAGGTCCATTGGGAGTTAGAGCTACAACAAGTGAATATGGGGTCACAGGTCAGTCCACATGACAGAGTGTGAGGGGAACAGCAATGAATTTAGTAGGAAACAGTTGGGCTCTGGATGCATATTGAAAGTAGAGTCAACCAGATTTGCACTTGGAGCTGATTTGCCAATGGAATGTGGGGTATACTTGGGGTGAGAGCAAAGAGAGCTCATGGGCTCTACCTCACAGGTGCCATTGGTGTCAGAGGTGACTCCATGGAATTCATAGATGTCCAGTGATACTATAGTGGTCCACAGGTAGTCATAGATGTCCATAAATGTCCACAGACACCAAGAAAGGCTCCCGTGTGGTTACCCTAGGTAACTTTAACGACTGAATTACCATTTCCCAAAATGGCCATCTCTCAGCAGGAGTATAGTTTCAGAGGGGAAACCTTGCTTCAGTTACCATCAGTTTAAGGTGCTTCTGAAATGTTTGCCTGAGGGTGGCAAACAGATGGTCAGAGTCCAGAGCTCAGGAGGGGGCAGGTGGGAAGTACGGAGATGTGGGGATCCTGCACTCAAGGCCTGATAGTGGATGACACCACCGAGATGAGATGGGGTCTGCAGACAGAGCTCTGAGATCCTCCCTACCCCAGTGTTTAGAGTCAGGGAGACATGGTGGACACAGAAAGGAGACCATTGAAGAAAAATGAGTGCCTGGAACAGTGTGGGAATGGGTCCTGGTGGCCAGAAGGCAGTGAAACTTTGAGGGGGAGAGATTGCCCGAGTTTGCTCAGATGCTAGTAAATAGGGTGAGACAGAGTCTGGGAAATGGCCATTCAGACTGAGCTGAGTGGTGTCAGAGCTGCTGTGGACAAACACGGGTCTGGTGCCCAGGAGGAGGCAGATGTCCTGGTTGGAGTGAGTTCAAGAGAGACTGGAGAAGAGGAAGTGCAAGGCCTCTTGAGAAATGTTGTAGTTCACTCGACAACCAAGAAAAGAGTGACAACCTGGCCTTGTGATTGACATTTGATGTGGCAGTGAGGGGGTTGATCTTGTGGGATGGAGCCCCGATGTGTGGGGTTGGACAAACTTCAAGTAGACAGTGTCAGAGTTCAGCCCTGTTGTAGGCCACTCAGCTGGTATCAGAGAATTGCTCGGTGTAACAGCAAAGGAGAGACACACAGAAAGAGAAGTCGATTTTTATAAACCCCTTCCACTGTATCCAGGGCCTGGCACATAGGAGACCCCCAAGAGCCCAAGGGTCATGTTCCCAAACCATAGACTTGTGGCCTTGAGAGGCACCCAGCTTCTTTGAGACTTAGTTTCTTTCTTTGTAAAATAATTATATTTTCCACAGTCTGTGTGCTTGTTGAGTAGAACTGGTAGCAATCTATAAGAACCATGTTTGTTGGATTACTGAGACATGAGAACTTGAGAAATATTTCATAACGCTTGTAGGGTGGCTCTACTCATTGAAATATCATGCCATACATGAAAGTTTTGAGAGTTCAATCCCTGGTCAGGGCACATACCTAGGATGCAGGTTTGATCCTCAATCAGAGCTTGTACAGGAGGCAGCCCATTGATGTTCTCTCTCACATCAATGTTTCTCTCTCTCTCTCTCTGATGCATGCACACACACACACACACATCAATAAACATATCCCCAGGTAAAGGTTAAAAATAGGTATATAATAAAAGATTGGAAAAATGAACAAAAGTCCTGTCACAATCAAATTCACTTCAGGGGACCCTCCCCACCCCACAAACTCTCTGCTCTGACCTTCTTTGCTCTCCCCACAGGGTCGCCACACGAAGCCCACATCAGTCAGCCCCGCTGACCCTACACACTCTACAGTGGACAGCCCGACCTTGGAAACAGAGCCAGAGGTGTATTACACATCCATCAGCTTTCAGAAATGAATCCTCCTCAGAAAAGAACCCACACAACACACACAGAGATAAGGACCTAGTAGGAAGCCAGCGTGTCCATTTGGGAAGGCTCATTCTTGAAGACTTAACATCCCCATGGGCAAGGAATGCATAAACCACTGTACATGCATTTCCTGCTGTGTTGAAACTGTCTTAGGCACTGCAA